TCTCTCTCTCTTCGTCCTGCTCCTCTTCGAGTCGCGCTCCGAAGGAAATGCTCGAAAGCGCGCGAATGGGATTGTGGATCGAGGGGTGTCGAACGTGTTTGACAGGAGGGGGTGGAGAGTGTCGGGGCCACATTCCGCCCTCTCGGGATCCTCTCCCGTATCGCGCGGTAACTCTGCCACGAATCCATGGCGGCCGTCGGCGGGCAACACACAGCCGTCAAACGATACGACATCTTAAGCCTCCGAGAACTCCGCAGGGGATCTCGTGGGAACGTGCGCGTTACACGAAGAAAGTATATTCCACGAACGACACCCCGGAAAATCATTGCACCCGATGCTCTCCACGGACACACGTACACACACGTGCGCGTTTTATTTATCATTATCAGGTGTGCGTAAATATGCCTGAAACACGAGCTGCCGAGTGGCGTCCCCGAGCTTCGGCCGCTGCTTTTTCGAGTCGCGTTCGATCGCGTCGATCGAAAGTTTGAAACTGCAAACTTGCACAACTGCTGACCGATCATTACTCGCGTTTCACCTCCTTCCCCCGCTTTTCAGACGCGGCGAATGGGAAGGAAACAATGCACGGGTCATCGTGCGTGTCGTTTGTCGCAGCACGGTTTCGCATGACTGACAATTTGCGAATAACTCGACGCTTTCAGTGCCTAAATTCAAGTCGGATACTCGAGAAGATCTTAATTGTCGCACGAAGAAGCTAGTTTGGTAGAGTTAACGTGCCGATGAGCGAAGCAAATGCAAAACCTTACTCGAATTTCAAGACAGAACCTCCGCTTCTGCGAGATCGAATTTGACTCCGCCGAACGGACCAGAAATCCCGCTTCCTTCGACCGAAATTCCTTCGCCTGCTTTCGCTCAATTGTCGCGCTGACTCGGCCGCTTCGGCTTTTCCCTGCGCGCGCGATAAAGGACGTGTGTTTATGCGTGGCGCAGGGGGTGTAATAAAAATTCGACGGCGCGGAGTTTCACGCGCGTGCCTCCGTTCGCGATGCACTGAAGCGTGAGAAATAGTGGACTATAAATTTCACTCGGCGAGAACAGGTCGCTTCGACAGTGTCGCTCGGATTACCGTGCAGATTATGCGATTAACTCCTAATCTTGAAATAATATACAAGCAATGGCGCGGGAGATTTCGTCCGTATACATTATCTTCATCGAAACGCGGAACGGGAACACACTCGGCTGAAGCATTCAGATGCTCCCTCGCGGTAAACAGACCACCCCGGCGATCCTCAGATCGTCCGTCGTGTTGAACACCGGAGATTGGAAAGGACTGGAATCTTAAGGAGCGGAAACGCGCCCTTAATCTACGCCCTCGTCTTCGTATCTGTGCGTTTCCACGGGCATCATTACTGGCGCGCGGCCGTTATCTGCCAAAGGTTTTCGATCGTTTCGAGGGCTGCGTTTACTTGTTTGCCCAGAAGGGCCGGTGAAGCAACGGCAACGCGCGACGGCGTGCGTTTTGCCGCGCGTTCGTGCGCGTCCTTCCGCGGCGAGCTGCCTGCCTCAGCAAACAAGGCGCTCATCGTGTTTTGAACACACGCTTATCCCGGCGTGCCCATTCGCCGGCGGTCCCTTACACGTGTTTCGTGGGTTGAGCGACCATTTAGGTAACCGATCTGTTTGCTCGGAGGTCGCTCGAAGATTAGGGCGCGATGCTTCGACCGGTATTTACACGCCGATATCAAACGCGTTCCTCGCGCGAGAGCACAGCTCCGAGGCGGCAGCCTCGGCATTCTCCATCGCCGCGCGGCGTGCGATTCCGCGGCGGCCGCGCTTCGTCTCGATCGAGACCGCACTTTGTGTCTTGCATAATCCCGCTGTCGTCGCGGCTCATCCGCTCTCGCATCTCGTCGGCCGGCGAATTAATCGCGAATTCCACCGCGTCGCGAGTCGCGCCCGTGTATTTATACGACACCCGCGAGGAAACGACACGCCGCGTTGCGCCACGACGGGATCGAAATCCGCATAATTTCTTCGCGAGAGAATTTCTTCAATTTTCGAACGCACGAAGCCTGCGAGGCGGAGAGGAATTCCACTCATCAGAGTCACAATTGTATTTTGTTTTATGGAAAAAAAGCCACCTTGGCCGTAGCAATTAATTGTCATCGATATGATTTGTGGGGACGCACTGAGTCCTCGCGAAGTCAATGTCCGTGTCGAAATTTTGAACCTATTTCTTAACTGAACTGTCTAATATCCGTAGATTCTGGAGGATCAATGGAGATTTGATTGATGCAGAAACTGAAGTTTCTTCTGAAGGCAGAAAATGCACAATTTGACACTTGTAGGCCCTTAAAATCTTTCGGCAAAGCTGTCGTTTAAATCGAATCCGAATAGATTGATATAGGTTTGAATATTAAATTAGCGTTAAATGGAACATTGAGAGATCGAAGGTAGGGACAAAACTTCGATCGGAGTTGATAATAATTAATTAAATCCGCTCAATTGGTACTGGTTTAGCAAATCTCCTTTTCCGTCTTCGAATCGGAGCTACCGTCGTGCGTTGAGAGAATAGGTGGCGTTAGACGATAACGAGTCAGAATGACCCGTTATCGACACGATTTGTGCTCGCAACTTTTGCAGTCCGTTCTACATAAAAAGTCCGTATTTCGAGAATTTCTGTATGTCGAGAGAGTCAGTTTAATCCGCTCTTACCTCGGACACTTGAAACGCAGCTCGCGCTAATCGCTGCGTTTGCGTGTCGTCGCGAATAAATGCAGAGATCACTCACGCTCGCAGAGCACGGCATATTCGAACTCACCGAAATTACACCGGCTTCAATCCCCGCTACCGGAGCGATAAATAACAGTAATGATTGTGTAAACATACACGACGCGGCCCTCTAACGAGAACGCGCGACGAGGATCCGCGCGCGCATGCGTGATCGCGCGTCGAGATTGATTTACGCGACGCAAAGTCGCGATATTCGTCAATATCAATTTTCCGCGGCGGTGCAGCGATTTTCGCCACGTCCCTCCCCCGCCGCCCTCCTTCGTCGCGGGGCGAGAGGGCGAAGGGGTGGACAGCCTCCTACGAATTTATAGCCGGGCTATAAATACAGCCTGCCCCCGGGAGGAATCTGCCAGTCTTCGGTGAATATGTTATTCGCGCGCGATTTTTGGCAAGGAGAAAAAGAGCTCCATGAAAACATCGGTGTGTCGGCGCGACTGTCTCTGTTAACGGGAGTGTGTCTGTCGCCCGGGCTCGCCGATGAGCAGGTTGTCAGCGGCAACGGCAACCGCGAGGCGCGCCATTTGTACACCGCCGACGGCGGTTTGGCGCGTGTCCGTCGGCGACTTCGACGACTTCCTCGATTAGGACGCGCATGTAACACCTCGCGCGAACGCGACGACGACACGCGCGCGAATCCGCGACGCGCACCCGCCTGGAAATATCGCGCGCGCGCGCGTGCGCACGCCGACAGGTACGTCTTCGGCGAGCGCTTGCCAGAAAAGCACCCTGCGCTCGCTCGCAACGCATGGCGACGCGCTCTCGGGAACGACGCCGTGATAAACTGCATCGAGAGACCTGGTCTCATCCGAGGTGTCATAACTCCGTGCCCGAAATAGCCGCGCGGCCGAGTCCCGGCGATTCTCTCTGCGAGCCGTGTCGTTATCGTTCCTTATCGCCGCATTGGCGATCGCTCTTCCACGATTCCCGCCGATCATCGATCCGAAGTCCTCGCACGTGCGTGTCCTCGGCCTGCCGACTCGTCAAGGAACATGCAAATGATGCTCGATTCACTGGACTACTCCTCGTGGAATTGCAGACACCGTCGGCTTCTCGGAGCGATCGGCTAATTCGACGATCCCGCGTCGAGCGCGCTCGGGACCTCCGCCGTCGAGATATCGCGGAGTCCCTTCTGTTCTCGCACATCACCACACATTCTTTCACACATACACACGCACATCCATCCGGACACGTGTGCGCCACGCACACTTGGCAGTATCGAGGTAGAGTGACACGCGTGTCTCTCAAGCTCGTAGTAGGCTCCGCGGCACTAAATCAGCCCGAGTTATGCGTCGACTAATTGTGAACCACGTCCCTCCTCTTTGCCGCCCCCGTGGGGACCAAATATAACTAAACGGAGCGAAACTAAACGGCCGGGCCGATTAACTCCTCAGTTCTCTCGCTCTCTCTCCCTCTCTCTCTCTCTCTCTCTCTCTCTCTCTCTCTCTCTCTCTCTCTCTCTCTCTCTCTCTCTCTCTCGCTCTCTCTCGGCCGTGCGCGGCTTCGCATACGAGCAGAGTGAAAGGAGCAAGAACGCCTTTTTATCCTTCTCGCCTCAGCGTCGTCGCGTCTGCTTCCGTCGGCAGATAAATAGTCGTTGATTGAGGAGAGCCTTACGTCCCACCGAGACGTAACTTTCACTTGGGTGGCGCGAGGTAACACGCGTTTATTAATCATCCCATTCGCGCGAATTATGCGGCCGCTATTAGCGTCACACCGCGAGCTGTTCGTCTCGGTTCGCAAGGTAAAACGGGGGGGGGAGTTACAATCTGAAGGTTCTCCCTAAGGATCTCCGCGCGCGGGCGGCGGCGACGTCTCTTGACATTAGAATGTTGGAGTGAAGTTCAAGGAGGCAGATAAGAGCGGCGGAAATTATCTTCCCGCTCCCCCCATCGTCGAAAGGAAATCTTCCGCGATAACTCAGATGAGCTTTACTCAGTGTTGTGTGTGCAGAATATTACATATAGAAGCCGCGATTCATTTAAAGGTTTATTTAAGAAATCGGTACGTCTGTTCAATCACGTACACACGCATGCACGCACACAGAGATCTCGCTACCGGCTGCCGTTCGTCTTCATTGAATCTCAGAGAGATGACGGAGTATCGTTTATTACACCGCGAAATCGCGCGAGCGTGACATGGCGCGAAACGAAAGCGGCCCTCCAATTAACGGCCGGCCTCGGCCGAGAATAAATAAGGATTACCGTGCGCCTAGACGACGTTGCAAGAGGGTGTGTTGTATTTTGCAGTCTGGGCGCAGAGTGACTTTAGGGACGAGACCAACGGGGGTCTCGCGAGGCTCGACACCACGGGTCATGGCGCCCACACCCCCGGCGGTAGTAACCCTAGCACACCGGGAGCAACCCCCACGACACCATCCGGTGGATTCTCCGCCGCTCAACCGAGGAACCGCACAAACACCACTCATAGGCCGGATATTCGAAAAGGTACGTTTCGACTATGTCTCGACAAGGACAACACGGAATACGATCATCTCTGTACTACATGCGGCGAAATCGTCAAATGAGGAGTCACTGCCGTCCTCGCGGAAAATTATTTTCAAATAAGTGTCACTTGAATCAAGTCTCTCTTTCCTCCGTAAGATATTCTGGGTGCTAGCAAGTTTAATACTTTGATCAAAATTATTAAATTGAAACAAAAACTCGGTTTGCTTCCTATGTACGTGCACTGAGAGAAAGTTGTATTAAAATTAAACAAATATTTGTTCGAATACGACTCTGAATACATTTACTTAAATTAAGCAATTATTTTCTAAAATTCAAGAAAAAAAGTTTACGTTCGGAGAACCTCTGTATTTCATTTTAGAAATTAGTCGCTTAATTTGAATAAATTTATTCACAGTCGTATTCGAGCAAATATTTGTTTAATTTTAATACAATTTTTTCTCAGTGGATAAAGTAAAAAAGTTTATAATATATATTCCTGAAACGAGAGAATAAATTCTTCTCTTTAATACGCGATAAGGAGCTTTTCCAAAATTTACGATGATTATTGCTTTGAGATTATTGAGGAGATTGTCCGTTGTTGAAGATAACTCAAAGGAGGAAAAGTAAACCAAGTAATCGCTTTCTTATCAATGTATTTTTTCCGCGTATCTATTCTACTATCATGTCGAAAATTTAGATGGATTGTTGATACTTTTTATATCGTTTCTTATTTATATCAATTATTATTAATCATTAGCAACTATTAATGCCAATGTTATTGCTTTCTTATTAATTATACCAATACACACACAAATCGTGCGAGATATACGTGAGATCTCGCGTATCCACGATGACTCGCAGTTCAAAGTTCGACGTTAGATTTCGCAACGAGAGAGATGTATTTGCGAATCAAAATTTAGTTCGCGGCGGAGAAGAGTTTTGCGCCCGGAGGCTGGGAGAAGGGGGAGGGAGAGGGGGAGAGGGTGCCATCCCTCTCGCGTTTGCACGGAGTTCTGGAACGAATGCGCGGAATGGTGGATGTCGCGTGGTGGATAGCAGGCGCGGGAGAGAGGTTGCCTACGTTTGTTTGCACGTTTGTTCGGCACTTAGCCGGAACGTTCTCACTCGCGTTCTAAATCCTCACAAATTGAAATATCACCCTGAGTCTTACGTTCCCGGCTAACAACAAACCTCTGCCGCGCGCTTCGCTTTATCCGTTGTAATATTCGACGGAGGCGCCAGTCACTCCCTGCGTGCTTCCGAAAACGCGAGTCTGCCATTCAATCTTCCGTTGTGGAAGCTGCTTAAACCTTACTAATGGCAAAATTCTCGATGTATCCTTAAGCCTCTGATGGTACATCGCGCAAGACATAAATGAATAAAGAAATATATCTATGCATGACGCGTAATTTTAAACCGCGGGTTATAATAATTCGATAGAAGCTTCCCAATCGATGCGTTTCTTCTCTTCGTTTCTTTCATCGCTTCCATGGGCTTAAATCGTCGGAAGACTCCTCATTGACGACCGCTTTTATTCGAGGCGCTTTTGACGGTTTTATCGAGGATATGATACCTTAACACTTTTCAGGTGTACAAACGTCTACAGAAGTAAAACACGAATTGGGTGCCGGTGGCGGTGTCGTTTCCCCCGGAGGTGTGGTCGGGGTCAACGATGCCGACGACAAGGACGGTAAGAAGAACAAACGGCAGAGGCGACAAAGGACACATTTTACGTCGAGCCAGCTCCAAAATTTGGAGGAGACTTTCATCAGAAACCGGTATCCGGACATGGCGACGAGAGAAGAATTGGCCGTTTGGACGAATTTGACGGAAGCTCGAGTCAGGGTAAGCGAATTTATCGCAATTTACAACGGACATCTTAATCATGATCTGAGATAAAGTCCTGACGAAGAAGACTATTCGTGTCAAGACGACTCTGAATGAATTTGCCTCAAAGGTTGCGCCCGCGCTCAGTAATTCGTCTTAATCGCTTAAATAACGCACTGATAAATTAAACGAGACAAAGGTAGTGAGAATTAAGAATCGATGAAAATTAATACGTCGTTTAGATGTAAGCTTTGTCCAAATTAATTTGCCAGTGTATGAATTTCACTTCGATTGGCTATACGCGTCGGGATTTCATTTTTTGAAACATTAGCAATTTCGAGAGAATTATCTTGTCAGAAATCTCAGAAATCAAGGCAGAGAGAAACATAAAAGAAAACATTGAAGCCTAACCCAAATTTGAACTCGTGACTCATAAAGCGGCAGTAACAACTCACAATGCCAATAGTAGAGCCTCACAATGGCTGCATTGAGGCGTCAAGATATCGATTACAAAGGCAACAATCCGTCAACTTCGACTGATATCCCGACGTCTTGTTGGCGTCAATGCAGCCTGCGAAAGACTTTCACAAGACGGATACGACGACGATGTAATTTTAAACGTTTTGAAACGTCTATATTCAGACAATGCTTCCATTCGCATCGAACGTTTCTCTCAACAATCTCTATTCGATTGTTTCACGTGAATCTACATCGATAAAAAATGTCCAATCGAGCGCGTGGAAGAAAAATTTGACTGAATGAACACAACGATGAACAAACCAGGGGCATTCTGGGCTTGAAGGGGAACGGAATCTCGGCTCGTAGAATTTGGCACGTAAGAGAACCGGAAATTCCGTTTCTTCCAGCCGAAACGCATTCGGTTCGCTCGCTGTCACGTGTCAGCTCAAGCAAGCAAGCAAGCAAGCAAGCAAGCAAGCAAGCGAGCCGCTCTCCGCGTGTGTATGTGCTTGTGAGTGATGAGAAAGACCTTACACATCCTACACGTGAGCTAATAACGCGCGCCATCGTACACGGCAAGGGAAGGGAAGGGAAGGGAAGGGAAGGGAAGGGAAGGGTTGCCGAGGAAAAATTCCGCCTACTTATAACAAAGTCTACAGCTAAGCTGAGAGTTCTAAGCTCCGGGGAAGAGAGACCCAAGTCTCATATACAAACGCGTTCTGGCCGCGATTCGGAACGACCACATACTATAATGACCCGGGGCACAGCAGGCGGTATAATAACGTCTCCCTGGGAGTACTTCCGAAAGTTGCGAAGCGGAGGGAGGGTCGCTGCGACCAAGTGGCGCCCAACAACGGGCGGACTCGAGCGGGAAAGTTCGCAAATCCGAAAACGCTTTATGAATCCCCCGGCCGCGTGTCCCCGCCGCTTGATTCGCGAACAAACGACGGATTGCGCGCTCCGAAGTCCAAGACTTCGAAGGCGGATCAGCCGAGCGTCGCGCGGACACGCTCCTCAAAATCCCGATACGGCCTGTCGCGCCATGCCGCGAGCACCAGGACACGGTCCTCCGCCGTGCGCGAGGCGAAAGCGTGAACAAAGTGTGCGTGGACAAGGCGGGAGGACGCGCGAGGGCGGCGGAAGAGCGGACAGATAGGAGGTCACACGGGGAAAGAGGTGAGAGTGCCGCGCGCAGGCCGCAGGGGAGGCTTTGCGCCAGTAAGCCCCGGTGGATTTATAGAACCACACACAGCGTGGTACGGTGTTCCCGCCACGGTGCTATACGCCATGTACCAAAACGCTGCAGATCCCGACCGTCGCGGTATCGCCGTCGCCGCCGCAACCGCCGCCGTCGCCGCTCGTTCGCTGTAACTGTAACGCCGTTATGGAGACATTCTTCATTTTAAATCTCCCTCCGCGCGCGTGCACTTGAGACGAGAAGGACGTCCTCTCTCGCGCGACCTTCGTTAATTCGGAGCTTAACTTGTACCCTTCGGCATAATGGAAGATAATAGGGCCGTATTTCAATGGACGATTATGCTTCACTCAGACGTGGTGCCCGTGTCGGAGCAGACTAGCGCGGACTCCGCGGTACGACGAAGAGTACGTCAATGAGTATCAGTTCCACGGTCAATGTTTCATGGGACCATCGCTGCGACGGCGACCCATCACTGGCGAGATTGCGAGCTTTGCGATTACGGACATGGATCGTTGATCTCTGAACATTGAACAGGCTGACGCGTGACAATCGCGACACAGATCCTTGCAACAGCCTGATGCGTACGGTTGCGGGGTAATGCGTTTGCAGCGTCGTCGCCTTGGCGTCACCTCGATGCAAGGACTCATTTCCTTAGGCGTGACGTCATAGAAATCCCTGGTACCGGATAGAGGAAGATCCGGAAATGTCATATCGGAGAGGAAAGCAGAAAGAGAGAGAGAGAGAGAGAGAGAGAGAGAGAGAGAGAGACATGCTGCTAGAAACTCGGTAAGAGCAGCAAAACCAGTGAGACCAGAGAGAGAGAGGGGGGGGAGTCGCAAGAGAGAGAAAGAGAGGTCGAGCGCGAAGCTGGGTACAGTTATCTGCAAAGAGGCAGGCGTATGTTTCGGTCGGTGGCAGCAGAGCGCGGCTGTCCGAGATAATCCGCCGGTGATTAAGACCATAAATCCATCGGCGGATTAGTATGGTTGCACCGCACACCTCGTGGCGGCGCTGGCTGGTGCACGAGAGAGTCGCACTGTGTTCCAGGCTCCAGTACCGGTGCCGCACACACATACACACTCTCTCTCCCTCTTCTCCTCCTCCTCCTCCTCTCTCTCTCTCTCTCTCTCTCTCTCTCTCTTTGCCTCTCTTCTCTCTGAGTCTCTCATTCTATCGCTCTATCGCTTCTCTCTCTCTCTCTCTCTCTTTTCGTTCTCTATCCAATCCGCTCTATCTCACTCTTCCTCTCGCAATCATACACCCTCTTGGAGCCCTGATCGCGGCGCGACCGACACACATCCAGGATATGCGTCCGTATACCTCGGCCTGGCGGAGGGTGAAGGGGTTGCGCGAAAGAGAGAGCGAGAAAGAGGGATAAATAGAGAGAGCGAGAGAGAGAGAGAGGGAGAGAGAGAGAGAGAGAGAGAGAGAGAGCAGGAGAGAGGAACCGAGCTTACACGCCATGGGAATGGGAAATGGGACGCCGCGGAATATAGGTGGACACTAACCGGTATGAGAGTGAGGATTACCGGGTGTCATCCGTATTCGGCCGGGTTAGCGGCTGTCAGCGGCCAATGCTATCGCTATATATCAATTATTACCTTTGGCCGCGCTGTGCAACGCTCGGCTGCATTCCGGTGCACAGTCCGCTGCCGCAGTGCACCGCCCGTCCGTCCACCCGCCCGCCTGCCCGGCCGGCCGACCACCCTCTCGTCGCGTACCTCGCGAGCCGATTTGCATCGCGACGCATCGTATAGCGACGTATGCAAACGCGCCGCGACCGCGCCTCTCACATCTCCGCGCTTCCACGCGGGTTACGCGGGTTTAACGTCGAGCCCGTGCCCGTTGGCTGGCTGGCTAGCTAGCTGGCTGGCTGGCCGGCTGGCTGGCTGGCTGGCTGGCTGGCTGGCTGGCTGGCTGGTTGGTTGGTTGGCCGTTCTGGTTCACGCGTCGCACTCTCGCCAGCTCGTAAGTTTCGCTGAACGCGAAGGGTGTAGCGCCGGTGCGACTGCACCCTTGGGCTTGCCGACCGAAACGGCGGCTGAGAGAAAAGGACTGGCGTGACAACGTCCATGTAATGAACACACGGCAACAACAGCGTCCGTAAAGCGCGTATAGCAGCGGTAGGAGTGTGACGTGTGGGCGTATAGCGACGACAGATAGCTTGCTTATGAACGTTAGGATTCGTATAATAGGCGAACAGAAGTGTGATAACGCTCGTATAATGAACTGTCGTAATAACGACTCGTAATAGCTGCCGCGTGTGGAACGGCATCGCCTTTCGAACGAACAATCTCATCGAACAACTTGTGCATATATGTTGGGCGAGTGCGCAAGTTTTCATGGACTTTGTGATAGAAAAGTGGAGGGAGTAATCTTATTGGAAAAGCGACACTCTGCCGAGCGATCGTCGCGCGTTGCTTCTTCCATCATCTTTTATTACACCCTGTACATACCCTGTAAACGCTGCTGTAAAGCTGAATCAGTCGCGACACATTTGAGAGAGCCATCGAGAGACTTTTGCACTCGGCCAATATTCGACGCGGCCAGGTGCGATGTTTCTTCGAAGAATTGGGAATTTCTCGTGCACGAAAGTTCAAGAACGGAGTCGGGGCGTGTTCGGAATTTGCATAAGAGGCCCACACGCTTTGTATACGTATGATCTTATCTTTAAGGCGGATCGCACTTGTCACGACACTCGGCTTGCTTCGCTCCGGCTTTCAAGTTTACATGTTGGGCAAACATTCGAAACATTCGAGCGACTGCAATTGGTCGGGCGTGGATTACACTTCGAGGCTGATAACGAAGTATTTGTAGTGTTTATTTCTTAATACTTACTTCTTAATATTGAACGCGTGTATGCCTGATGTGTTGTGTGTGCTGTATGATAAATCAACGCGGTGAGATTCAATTTAACGTCAGGCGCTGTAAGTTTTTATATTCCGCAGGAGATTCCCTGCCCCCTTTGGTCGGCTTCGACTTTAGAGCGGGTCGAAGCGAAACTACGATCGGCTTTACGGTAATGTCCGAGAGTGGTCGTTTTCAAGTTAATATCACGTCGAACGAAATGAAAAATGGCGAAGGGCGAGCCGCGCGTACTCCGCGGGCGAATCAGAATTCGAATCGGCGGCAGTTAATCTTCCATCGGGTATTGTATTTTTCACGCAGGGGGTTGCGGCGCGACCCGCAATTTTGTTGCGAAACTTCGGAGCTTTGCGTGTTTTTCGAGAAAGCAGCATCACCGCGCGATGCTACCGACAAAGGGTATTGTATCGTCTGACCGAGTCTGACGCGTCGTTATATTTTTCATTACAAGTCGATATATTTGTTACGATGACAATGAAATTTGATTGAGAACAAA